GAATATTCAAGGCATTTCAAGCAGTTTGATATGTAATTCTGTACTATAGATTTCATATTAGGGAACCAATAAACTCTTTGGATGGCATTCATGACCTTATCAATCCCTACATGACCTATGTCATCATGACATGTGCGAATGACATTGTTCATCATGGAGTGTGGTACATAAAATTTCAACTTATTTTTATCCTTCCGGTACACTAAACCGTCTTTCAATTCATAAAATTTGTCTTCGGATGTTTCTAATTTGTCACGAATTTTGCATATTTCTGGATCACGATCCTGCTGTAGGCTCAAGACCCTTTCAAACGTATTTGCCTCCAAAATATTGATACTATGGCATCGACTTAGCGCGTCCACGTGGCTCATTCTTTTATTGCTTCTGTGTTCTATCTCATAATTATAATTTTGGAGGAATAGTGCCCACCGGGAAATACGGGGATTAATTGTTTGTTTGCTTAACGTGAGCCGGAAGCTGTCACAATCAGTTATAATTCTAAATTTAATGCCAAACAAGTAAACATGGAATCTTTTAATGGCATATATAGCAGATAACGTTTCTAGTTCAAAGCTATGGTACTTGGATTCTGCTGGCGAAGTACGATGGCTAAAATAAGACACTGGTCTGAAAAATCCATCTTTCTGTCTCTGCAGAAGCATCGCTCCGAATCCATGACAACTTGCATCACAATGCAGCTCTGTCTCTAATTCTGGAGAATAAATGCATAAGATAGGAGAAGATGATAGATGAGTTTTCAATGTTTCAAAAGATGAGAATTCGGAATTTTCAAATTTAAAACAAGCATTTTTTTTAAGTAAGTCATATAAAGGTTTGGCCAAAAGAGCAAAATTGAAGATAAAACGTCTGAAGTAGCTGGCTAAACTAACAAATCTGTGTACCTGCTTGGTACTTGTTGGAATGGGGTAATTAACAACTGCCTCAACATTTGCACTACTTGGTCGGACTCCTGTTTCATCAATAAGGTAACCTAAATATGTGATTTCACAATATAAAAATTTACATTTATCAAGCCTAAACTTTAAATCATACTTCCTTGCCAAATTTAAAACCTCAGAAAATATATTTAAATGCTCTTCTACCGTCTCAGTGGCAATGAGGATATCATCTAAATATATCAGAACTTTATTGTCTCTAATCATTTCTTTAAAAATACTCTGGGTGTATTTTCCAAAAACTCTTGGGGAATCCGTTAATCCCATAGGCATGCGCATATATTCAAACTGACCTAGAGGTGTTACAAATGCAGTATATTTGATAGAAGGTTCTGCCATTTTTACATGGTAGAATCCATTTTTGAGATCTAAGGAGGTGTAATACTTTTTGTTTTTGAGCCTGTCTAAATGATCATCGATAAGAGGGGTAGGAAAGTTACATTTGACAGTATTTTTGTTGAGTTCACGGTAATCAATGCAAAGTCTCAAATCACCGGATTTTTTCCTAACTAAAACAATGGGGCTAGCATAAGGGGAATCACTATGCCTAATAATATTATCTTTTAGCAGATCATCAAGAATAGCCTGTAATTTTTGTTTTTCAAAATAAGACAATCGTCTTGGACGGAAACAAATTGGTTGATCCTTTTTTAAAGTTATATTCATTTTAAAATCATGTTCAATAGGACTTTCAAACCTAAGGAGATAATTAGCTTCATAAGTATTCTGAACCCTTTTAAAAATATCATATGGTAAATTTGGATTGATGTCAAGTTTTTCCAACTCACTTTTACTATCATGGCCATAATCAATATGCATCAATTGCTCAATATAATGTATGTCCTCCTCATACTCATCAAGACAATAATTATAGTATGATTCAGCTTTCTGTTCAACAGGATTTTTGAATATTTCAATAGTATCTCCTAATTTAATGGTGAGATTAGATTCAGAAATGAAATCCCTGCCTAAAATACATGCATATGACATGGTAGCATCAGAAACAACATAAAATTTCAAATTAGTTTTGATACCATCAGTTACTATGTCTTTTTGAAATATTCCCAGAATCTCTAATTTGGACCCATTAATTCCAGAAAAATCATCACTACTTGAATTTGGTAAGACTGAGTCCATTGGGACATATTTGTTTTTGATTAAACTAATGGGTGAACCACTATCCAATAAAGCTGTTAGACAAATCTTACACAGTTCATTACCAAACCCTAGAGTGAAATCAACATTAACAGTATAAGGTTTACTTGACTGGTATGTCTGCACCATGTTGGTAGTACTATCTGGTCTAGTTCTAGGATCAGGATTCCTCTCTGGACAGCTATTAATTTGGTGGCCCATTTTTCCACACTTGAAACAAGAACCCCTTTCTCTCTTGGGTTTACTACAATCTGGGACCCTATGGCCAGTTTCATTGCAGTTGAAACATCTTACTAACCTGCTTGTAGAACTGTTGGCAACACTAGTAGAAGTACCTGCAGCAGTGTTTGCATTTGAAGTGCTTGGATGTCTTGGGACTGGTCCTCTCATAAATGGGCGATTGTTAACTGGCCCACTTGAATCTTCTCGTGCCACATTACTCATAATCTTGTATAAGTCCTCAAGTGTGTGGATTTCATGCAGCATCATTCTTGCTTGGCTCTGGAGCATCCTATTATCAAAGCCATCAATGATATAATGTATCATTTCATTCTCTGGTACCCCAGCATTATTCCCCAGGTTAACCTTCTCATGGTAATAACTAGAGAATTTTTCATGGGTTTTCCAACGTCTTCGTTCAAAATTCTTTCGAAGGCCTACTAAATTCTGATGCAGACTGAACATTTTCCTCATGTCAACTTTCAAACAGTTCCAGTCCATAAGAACAAAATCAACTTTGGAATTGTACCACTCCCTGGCACACCCTGTAAGTTTTCCAACTGCTATGACTTGCATAATGTCATCAGCTACATCATAAACATTCTGCACAGCAGCTACCCTTTCTAGCCATAGGTTTACATCTTGAGAGCCCCCTGAGAACTCTGGTAATAATGCAGAAATCTCCTTATTGGTGAAGTGTCTTCTTGCTGGTGGCACTTGTACTGCCTGTGGAGGTGGTTGGACTGAATTGACTTGAGCAGTATTGCTACTCTGGTGAAAGAGCATCACAGCCCTAACCGTAGATTGTATAAGGTCTTCCACCGTCAGGGGCTCGGCCAATGGATTCTGCAACGGCACCTGTCCCCCAGCATCAGCATCAACTTCAGCCGATGGCGTCATTTCTAAATTCTCACTCATCCCATCCATAATAAATTCCAGTAACCTTAATCCAATCCCACTTCTGACTTGTGGGGATGGCCGAAATAAATAATTTTTGTCAGGGAATAATAGTTTTATTTCACATCACAACCTAACGACATAAAAACAACGCTAACTTCCTTCCTCCCGCCAACTTATCCAATCCTAACCTCAAACTCCAACCTTTTCGCGCCTAACTTAACCACTGATTTTCTTCTTCTTTTCTCTTGCCTTCGGGACATAAGCCCAAAAGGCCTACACTATAATGTTCGTGGAACATCGTGCGTACCTAGGGAGGATAGGGGGAGGCCTTTTAAGCCAGTTCAACACTATTTTTATATCAAGCAAAGCATATGTTTACTTTAGAACTATATTTTTTGGCGTTTGTAGAAAAAATGTTGATTGCAACTCGATCGCCAAATACTTTGGTCATCTCGACTATTGTTTCAAAAAATCAGATCTCGATCACCAGAGAAGCATTTCGCGCTCTAGATACAAAAATAACTATTGCAAGTTCAGCAATACTAGCGAGCAGGCCTACAGTAAGAGGGTGTGTACACAATACTTGGCTAAATGCATATATAAAATGGACAGAAAACAAGAAAATCAACTGCTTAAGTGGTATGAAGTTGAGACCATGATAAGCAGTTTTTTGTCTTTTTGTTACTAGTTTCAGTTCCTCCATGCTTCCATCCTCCATGCTTAAGTGGTATGAAGTTGAGACCATGATAAGCAGTTTTTTGCCTTTTTGTTACTAGTTTCAGTTCCTCCATTAATACATGCGGTATATGACGTCACTGTCATTTGATATTTACCGCAGTTATTTTTTCAGTATTTCTGATTATTCGGGAAATTGTGATTCTAAAACTACTTGTTGCGTTTTTCTAAGTGTGAAAGAGTTCATTCAAGTGATGTGACGATCAGAGCACACTTGACCTTATCTTGGTGCCCTGATGAAACTAAAGTCGATGACGTGATATGACGTCAATGTCCGCGAACGTGTTAATATGCCGTTTTGCAAAGTTAAAAAAATTCAGCCGTTCCTGAAATATTTCGAAAAAACTGGAAATCACTGATTTTGTTTTTAATTTCTCAGTTAATATTAGAGGAAATAATTTTAAATTTTGGCTTGGGATTCTCAGAAATATTCTATGTTTATTAATTATATGTTCCAACCAATAGTGATCAGAATTCTGAATCTTGAACAACCCTGTATCTGTTCCGATTAAATATCAGTAAATAGTGAATCAATAGTTGAGATAGGGACATGTGAGCCGTTTTGACCGATAATGAATAGTTTCTACAAGAAAAAATCCTCAAGTTGGAAATTCTCGATTTTGAACACCCCATATATGATGCATTGGTAAAATCAGCTCTTCAGGAAGAATCTAAAAATGTGATGAAATACAGGGTGTTCCATTTGAAATATCAATGTTGCTACTTCTTTCTAGTACTGGGAAAATACCATGAAAATGTACATGCTTATATTTTAGAACACGCTCTCTTCATTCGAAATATTTTCGATAATGCAGTGTTGTTGCTATTACTTTCTAGTAGAAGGAACAACACTGCATTGTCGAGAATATTTCAAATGAAGAGATTTCATGGATTTTTCCCAACTGATTTTCGTTATAAAGATATAGTGTAAAAGCTCGTATCGTGACATACCTTGTATATCAATTAACCCATTTATGATTTTTTTGTTTCCAAATTAAATGAGATTCAGGTTGGAAGCTATAATCACAAGAAACTTTGATTTTTCTAAATAATTATATTCAGTAAAACAACAACAATAGTTTCAATAGAAAATATTTAAAAAGTACTACGTTAGCCGGGATTGAATAAGTCTTGATTTGCACTCAGATATTCCTAGCTTATATCTATCATAATGGCTTGTAATATTGTCTGCATCTCTCATTGAACACTTTGGCAGTTCTCTCTTTGATCAGATCTTCTACAGTCAGTTCCACTTGTAACATACGTAACTGAAACAAAAACAATTTTGTCAGTCCGAAAAAAAAAACTGGAAAAACAACATCCTGTAATATTCGTCTAAAAGTAAAAAGGATCAAACAAAGTCGACTTGTCATACTCACACTATTCAGAAAAAAATCTCAATCAGAGAAAAAAGCATATGGTGCCATTTGAAGAAAAAAGTTGACAGTCGCTGACGTTACACCTAATAGGTTCATTCGGGTTCGAACTATTGCGGTTCTAGAACTGTCAGGAGTTTGCGCAGTTTGTGGAACTGTTCTAGGACTGACTCTTTACGCGTTCAGGTTTTTCCAGAATCGTCCTGGGACGGTCCTAGAACTATCCGAAACCAGTACCTGCTCTCGAGCATGAACCGTTATAGGATTATTTTTGGCGCATGCTCATTTCATTTAGTTGTAGCGTAACGTTATAATGATATATTTTTGTTTATATTCTACTGTTTATTGCTTTTTTCAAAATTTTCTCAATATTATGGAGCTAGTACATTCATTTAATAGTAGTAGATCTTCATCTTCAGGAAGCAGTGGTGAAGGAGTTACTTGCTGAAGTTGCGGAAACTATTTTATCTAATCTGAGAATTCTTCAACTTTTGTTAAATCAACCGAAAAATAGAGGACTATGTTGGGGAGCCTTTGCCATTATATTCAAATACACAATAAATTGAACATTTCAGGTGGGGTGTCGAAATTCATGTAGGTACAAGGGACAAAACATATCAAAAATCTAGCTACGAATGCTATGATGGAATAATATATTCACCATTCTTCCACAGAGGGTTGCCAGAGATATTGTGAATAGACTCAAAGGAGAGTTTGAAGCTTCAGAATATTATTCGAATAAAAATACAGGATCCAAACTATTGTATATTTCGCAAATTCTGAATAGAGGTTATGTTCTCAGAAGTTCTCTTTTGCCGCGTTCGGGTTTTCATAATTTGTGAACCGTTCTGAAACAGTCCTAGGATTCGGAACGACTTCGCACTAGTTCTGTGCAGTTCGAGAACGATTCTTGAACACTTCTGAAATCGGAACCCGAATGAACCTATTGAATCATTTCATTCATTTTTTTTTCAACATCGTATTATCAAGTGTGGACCTAATTAGTAGGTGGCTATGAAAAAAAAAACTAGTGCAGATTGTGGCGAATTATGATAACCCATGATATCAAAACCACGAAAAATCAGATATGATTGGGATAAATAGCCAAGTTCACACAAGTTGTTATGAAAAATATCCTCGATCTGAATGTGAAAGGTCTAACATGGAAAACAACTGAATGACGCCGGGTCCAATGATTTCGTTTGTTTCTACTTCAGTAAACATTTTGTAAAATTTGTATATCGCTACTTCAAAGTTGGGAACCAACTCCCCAAAAGTCGAAACTTGTGCGGGGTTAGGAAGAGCGGGACCTACAGCTTATAGTGGAATCCGAACCACTTCTAGGGCATCGAGGTGCTGCCAGGATTACAACCATGAATCACACATTCTAAAGAAAAATGCTCTGCCGATAGCCGGATTCGAACCGACAGTACCTCTGCATCGTGAACGGCTATCTAGCGAATTTCAGCGCATAGACAAACTCGGCCACGGTGCCTATCATCAAATTGAATTTTCCACATCCATTTAGAGTTTCAATGATACACAACTTTTCTTGAATTGTCTTGGCCGTTACTTGATGAAAATCAATGGCAAATGTAAAAACCTCGGTAAAAACTCCACAAACGATTTTTGTGGAAATCTTATCGTTTGTGAAGTTTTTACATACACAAATTTTCAATTGGTGGGATAAGAGCATAAATATAACTACTGAAACACCCTGAATGTCTTGAAATAAAGATTTCCAGGGAAAACAAAATAAACACATCGATGATGATATACAGGAGGAAACTCGGGATGAAACATTTCGTCATAGTTATCCTCGAGGTGATATAAACTCCACACCCCCAGAGCACATCCTTTCGTCGTTAACCTTGAAATATGTTGAACAAAACTCTACCAAAACTCGTACGTCTCTAGAACGGCGACGCTTTGGAATGGGCTTATATCACAAAAAAAATTTATTTCATAATTCGATAGAACCCACCCAAACTAGCTCACCACCGCAAACCGTTTCTTGCTGTGAGCTCCCTACGTTTTATAAAAAATTATTGAAATCCCCGATTTTCCGGACCTCTGAAAACGAGGCGATGATGTGTGTGATTCCAGACAGAGATGAATGATACATGATTTCTGACAGAGTGAATTATCGCGAGATCACAGATCAGTTGCCTCAGTATCCGTCGGACGTTTGGTATTTTCTTTTAACTATGGTGAGATGAGATTTCTACGTCATGAGAGGGTCCGTTTTCAGAACGTACTATTATTTATGTCCAAAAATGAAACATTCCAGTTAATTTTTCGATCGAATTATGTCGTCAATCATTATTTATGTATAAAAGGATCATTATAAACATGGTTTGAGTTAAATGTTCTACTAAGGTGTACACGCCCATTCTTTGCCAATGGAAGTATTCCCTAAAACTTATAAGCTCCAAAAGTTCAAAAAGCACCTGGGTACCTCCTCTCCTATCCTTCATAGGTTCACACGATGTTCCAATATTGTAGGAATTTCCTTTCATGCGCTCCAAGAGATGAAAAAACAGCCAATATTTCCTTCCATGCTGATAATGATGAACTAACCGAAGATGAATGAAAATATTACGAGATTTATTTAGCAAAATCGAGTGATTTGCCCTAGGATTTATGGGGTTAATGTTACCATGTAGATAACTTTAATAAAATATGTCATGTTTTTTGTTTCGCCTGGAAATCATTATTTGAAGAGATATTCAGGGTTTTCGTTTTGGTTGGCCACCTTATATTCTGTATTCCAAGTTTAGTGAGTTTGTATATTCAAAGAATATTATTGCATATTTTTAACAACATTCATTTATACTCCAGCATAAAAACCTCCATAAAAACATAATATCCCTATTGTATGATTGTATATAAATATCAGCAAGTAAGAATAACTAAAACAATTGAGGAATTACCAGGTATTGCATGGATTTTTCAAGGGATTGAGAGGAATTACGAGGGATTGATTGCATTACTAGTTAATTTAGTGAACTAGGAGGCATTATTTTGGCATTGAGGAATTAGTGTACACCAATCTACTCAGCAAAATGTACCTCATTTGGAATCATATAGTGAGTTTGATTTTTTTCCTACAGGGGTTCAGAGGAAAATATAAACCTCACATTTTTTTCGTACTTTTGACATCCTGTATTTGGGAGAGTATGCATTTAAGGAAGCTTTTCACCTCAAAATGAGGTATAGATCTGTATAGATCTCAACGCCCCCAGGATAACATTCAGCAAACTGAAGTAAGTAGGTGTATATATTATATCATCAATTTATCCAACAGTAATATGTCCAAAGATAATGACTGTGTTCTGCAGTGGCCTATTACAAAACAGTTTCTAATATGAATAAATGTAGGTTCATTGAGATCACTCAGTAACTATAATAAGTAAGTATAATTCAGTCAGAGAATTTCAGAATTTGGCAATAATTACCAATTAGACAGAATTTTGTCATTATAAAAATATTTTTTTTTATGTCAACACACTGTTTACTATTCCTGGAAAAATGATCTCTGAAACATACACAAGATTAGATGAACTTCAGTTTTCATTTTTGCCAGTACTATTTTATTGTCTCAAATTTTCCCAATAAGAATCTGAAACACCCTAGAATAGGTACACAAACCACTCACAAAGAGAATTTGAAACAATATTTGCATTATACCAGGTGACTCATGCACCAGACTCTATTTTCCTCTGGTGGGTTAAAATGAATGATACAATAAACAAGGCACAAATCGAATATTTGTGGGTTCTATATTAATCTACAGATTCTACTCAACACTCAAAAGAACCCCTGAGATCAATATATTCTTAAAATAGTCTGTGCACTTCTCTCACTCTCTCAGAAAATGGAGAATCAAACTTCTTTATAAAGTAACAACAGAGTACTCACAAATAATCCTTAACTTTGCACTTCACCAGTAGTCGGTTAGGTAAATATTTCTTAAGCAGGTTACTCAATTCACCTCGCTGAAATACCTTTAGTGCAGTTGACCACGTCTCCACACTCTAATCAAGACTTTGTCTCGATTTCTGATGAAAATTCAGATTTGTTGAGCGACCTCTTTGACTGTTAGGTGCCGACTCATTCTCCTCTCTCTCCTTCACTGGTCACCCCATCTTACTGTATTTTTGTCTCTATTGCACACTTGCAGAGAATATACAGTTGAATGCAACACTGTCTTACCTCTACTATTTATACTAGGTACGCACAATACACATACAACTACTAAATATTACAAAGTAGGCCTGGTACACTCATGGTAGAGGTAGGTTAGGTATCACCTGTTCTATCAATCTAAAACATTTCCAAAATTGCAATGTTGAAGCTTCTATCAAAAAGTCCTAGCAAATAATTTTTTTCAAATATAGCCCTGTATATTATTGCAATTTTAGATTATTTCTGAAGAGCTCATTTCATCAATGTATCACACTTGAAGTCTAGCAGGAATGATTATACTGATATATAGGGTGTTAAAAATACAGATTCAAATTTATGATTGTTTTGTGTCCAAATTATTCATTATTGGTTGAAAAGAATTTCATAACCCTATCTTAACTTTTGAATTTCTATCTACTGACATTTAATTGGAACAAATACGGGATGGCTGAAGATCCAGAATTCTGATCACCCTGTATCTGTTCCAATTGAATGTCAGTAGATTGTAAATATAGAGTTGAGAGAGACATGAAAGCAGTTTTGAAGGGAAATGAAGGACCTGGGTGGATGGCCTTTTGAGTATTTATACTCAATAAAGTTCATTTTGTTGTTGTTCTTTGAATAGTTTCAACATAAAAAACCCTATGAAAGAAAAATATTGATTTTGAACACCCTATATCTCTGTGATCATTCCCACTGGACCCCAAATGTGATAAATTTATGACACCAGCTCTTCAGGAAGAATCTTGAATTGCTAGTACTTTTTTATAGAAGCAGCACCATCACAATTTTGAAAATATTTCAGATCCACAGAACAGATGATAAAATTTGATGTCACAATTTTGAAAATATTTTAGATCCATAGAACAGGTGAGACACCCTGTATAATTTAATTCCTAGGTTTCTCCTCATACATATTGTATTGATTGATTGATTGTTAGCATGCATGTTGTTTCTTGTTTCATTGGTGAAAATAATGAACAGAATTGGACCTATCATTGATCCTTAGGGAGCCTGAATGTTCCCAGTTTTTCTTCACCTGATTTTTGTATTCTTTAACCAAGATTCTAGTACTACTTTTGGACTTTTTGATTGTTATTATGGTCCTTTACTTGATACTTGTTACATCATGTTTATTTCATACCTTTGTTTGTTCAGCCCTCAGTTGTTTTGAAATTTGTAGATCATCCAAGTGGGCCTCACGATGCTCCTTGAGCTGTTTCACTCTATCTGTAGTTATTGTGATACAATTCCTAATGAACTTTTCACGTTGACTGTTGCCTGCACCTAATTTTTCATGAAGGTTTTTACAGGCCACTGTGTCATCTGTTGGTAAAGAATGAGTTGAGACTACTGCATTTATTGTGTTAACAATGATATCATGTGGTTTTCGCATAGATCTTAAAGTTTCCTGAAAACAGAAATTTGCAGAATTGAGTTGGAAACTATCCAGTGAATAGTTTAATCATTGCCATTCACTGATTTCATTTTCATTCACCTGGAATTCACTATAATCTGGACATTCCATTATGGCAGTCATAATAACTAAATAGAGTAGGAAAACTTTGCGATTTATTGGCCAGACACAATTCAAATATACCCCTTCAGGCTGTTACAAAGGGGTTGTAGACAACTTCTTCACGCTGTTACACAGGGGTTGTAAAGGTTGTAGACAGATAATTATGGAGGTTAATTGTTATTTTTCCAAAAACTCTTAACTTTAACCTAATAAATAAAATTTGGTACTGACAGGTGACAGACTGAGAGCAACAGCTATCTCAAATCTCAATATAATTACGAACGTCTCTTGCCAGTCATTCAATTAGTAGCTTGCTGCCGTGCTGAGAAAAATCTCAAGGTCATCAGAAGAGACCGTATTATTAGTCTGTTCATCAAAAAAAACTCCTCAGGTCTTCTCTATCTGAGGATTCCTTGGGAGCTCCTCAGCACTTGTAATGAATCTTGTATTATTGACCTCCCTTCATTCTAAAAGGAGCCCTCACACTTAGCAATAGTGTACGTATAATACTAGTTTTCTGTTTTGTGTGACCGAATTTGTTGTTTCATGTCGTGTTTGTATCAATGAACTCAATATAATTGGTTTGTATAAACATCTCAGTCACAAGGTCACAAGACAAAAAATGTAAAATTTGACAAAAAACTCGAATTTTTACTGTCGACATCGGAACGGAAGTATAATAATCCAGTAATGATTTCCAAAGCTGATAATATCGGGCCTTAAAACATATTTCTTGACAATGTTGGAAAATCATAATACAAAAATTACTCTATTGAAAACGGATTCTTTCAAGCTGCAATGAAATAATATTCCATGAAGAGGAAGAATAACCCATCAATTCATCAATGGTGCATTGAAATTTCTAGCCGCTGTAGCATTTCTAAGTCAATGATTTCATCGCCGGTAATATGTATTACGGCCGGCTGGCAGCCGCCTGAACACCTCGACGCCGGGAAATTAGAGCCTAGCCATAGCACCACTATACGGGAAATATTGCCACGGTGGCAAGTCAAGAGCGTATAAAATTCATTTATGCACTAGCGGGCGGTAAAGTGCACTTTATCGCCTACGGGCCATGATGTGCACTTTACCGTCCGCTGTTCTCAGATTGATCGACAACGTCAAATTTAGGTAGCTATATACTGGGTATACATATTGTTACACCTCATGGAATGAATCTCTGTTAATGTACAGAGAGTTTCACTCTTACGATAATTGCGATTTTCGTTCGGTAATTTTAATATGTAGATTAATCACAAACATTGCCCTTCTCTTGAAAACTGAATTAATATGAGTAACATATGAATTGTAGTTTGTTGAAATCTAGTAATTACCTGTGACTCGGGAAATGAACTACTAGTGCATAAAATTTTGTATGTATCACGTGCGTAAAATGCGTTTATAGCCCTCGGCTAACGCCATCGAGCCATTATTCACGCCGCAGGCCATAAACGCCTACTTTACGCCCTTGATACATAAATAACTATCATTGTAGTTCGTTCTGCCAGAAGCGTGGTGGTCATTAGAGTAGCCCTCCTTCCTCCTTCAAGATACACCAAAACAAAAATGAAATGTTGTGTTAGAAATTTGTGTTGAATATAACTTGGCTAAGAAAAATAAACGATTTTAATACCTTCCTCCGAGTGAAAGAACCGGGGTTCGATCCCTACTAAAGCTAATATTTTTTTTTTCGAAGTAATAAATCGAAAATATACTATGGAGGCATTTATTGGTTAGGCCAATAGTGATTCGCTATCACAATAATGTTTTTTCTCAGGATCAGCCAGAAATTTTCAGTTTCTCGCGCCAGTCGCGCCCACGGAGCGAGACGCAATATTACTTCGCGATGGTGCTATGGCTAGAATCAAGTAGCCAGGAAGCAAATATCTACTACTCATATATGGAGCATAGCTGTCCTCAAAGCTGATGCCGACGTAGGAAAAAAATAATACGAAACTTGTCTCCATCCTTCACTTTCCGTCCTTATAGATTCAAACATTTTGGTCCCATTTTTGTTGAGATATCGTGTAGGCGATGCGTAATATATAGAAATAGTAAATATATGCCGAGGAGGCATTACATTTCGATAGTTATCAAAGTTGTGTGGTTGTTCATTGGAAATCGTGATTGGAAGTGTATGTATTCCCAATTCTTGAACAAATTATCAAGATGATACCTATAGATATATAATTGTAAATATGTTGAGTTTCTATTATTTGTACAAATACCTATTATTTGAAATAAAGAAGATTTACTTTTCAACTAAACTTGAATTCTTATATCTATCAGCATCTATTGGAAATTGATATACTCGAATCAGTTCTTCTGTACAAATCTCAAGACTTAAATATTCATTTGATTGGTTCACTCATCATTCTAGAGAAGCGCTCCAGATCAAACACTATTCAAACGCGTGAAATTCAGATCCATAATATAATATCCAATTATGTACATATTCATAACATAATAATTGAAATAATGCTGGTAATTGGATCACGAATGCTCAAGATACCTCTTCACCTTCCTTATGATTTTCATTTCACTGAGACTTCCTTCGAGCATATTACGACTATAAATTGGAAACTGGCACTTAAGGATGCCTTAAGCAGGAGCGACTATCCATAAGCTGGGCCATCTCAGCTGGGCCTAAGAGGTATTATGAGGATGGAAAATATCGTTTCTGCATGAAAAAGGAGACTACTTTTGACCTCCTGGCCTAAATGAACATTTTTTTTAGTGAAGAAAAAAAAAAGAAACTCCTCGCAGGGAGTTGAACACAAGCCACCACCGTGAAAGTTACTCGAAAGTTGATCACTAAAGAAAGAAGTAATATCGTGCGTTCGCTTGTTTATCACTTTTTTTTAAATATACTTTTCAGGAAACTGGTCCATTCAGGCCGAGTAAGGTTAAAAGCAGGGACCCGGACCCAAATGTGATATCGGTTCCGGTTCGGGTCCTAAGGAAATTGTAGATTTCGGTTCCGATTCAAATACGGTTCCCAGAATATAATTTCGATTCGGTTCTGCCAGTTTTCGGTACATTATATTCAGTATGTCTGCAAAAATTGGCAATAAAAGGTAAACTTTTTGATTATCAATTTTAGGAAAAGAAGTCATTCTCCATGAAAAATTCTGCAAAGCCTGAATCCGAGAATGCAAATGTCACTTATTTTTATCGTATACTTATTAGGTACCTCATATTATACGCACTCTAAAAAATTGATATTTGATATTGATATTAATATTAATTTCACTTGAGAATAATGTACCTACCTTTATCGTAGACAATTATCGAATTTTGTTTTGGAAAATAGTTGACTAGCAGTCAATACTAAGTTATTTAATATATCTAATTACGATAGGTCCAAATCCGAGAATCAGATATCATATTTTTCCAGTTGTATACGAGGTCCAAAACTATCAATTCTGCTCATGAGTAAATAACTGGGTGTAAAAACTGAAAGCTAGTTTTGTGACCGAACCACCCGAACCAAGTGACCCTAACACCCTTATACGCAGTGCGCAGGCCCAGGTGTCACCAGTCACCACTAAAGTCATAAAACAAAAAAAAATTCTTTCATTTCACAAAACCTAAGTTTGGCATCACTTATAAACCAAAACATAGCCCACTTCAAAGAAGAGAGCCGGCTGTGACCAAAAGCATATCAAGAGAGAAAACCGGAATTAACCGAAAAAACCGTTTCAATTTTTAGGGGTTCCGGTTCAGTACCATTTATTAATAGAAGTTTGAATATGGGTTCGGTTTCGGTTCACAAAATAATAATGGTTCCGTTACGGTTTTCGGTTCATAACGGTTCCGGTCCGGGTCCCTGGTTAAAAGTAGGCTCCTTTCACAAGCAGAAAAGATATTCTCCTTCCACATAATACCACCTATCCGACTTTCATAACCTTCTGATTCATTTCTGATTAGTCATTCTTCTGATAACCTTGAGATTTACCAATACCGCAACCGATTAATCTATGCTGCAACCTGCAACACAGACAAACGTCTAGCTAGATCAGCGAATCTTTCAAACATCGAGGTCAAGTGACGTCACCCACAGCACATATTTCATTTCTTCCTTCTTCATATTCTATATTGAGAAAAATGATGGAAGTAAGATATGGTGTAATTACTGATGCGCTTTCGTTTCAGAAATTTTACTCGACCTCTCGAGAACAGCGAGAGCAATGATTCCTTCGATCTTCTAATAGATGGCGACATTGCACAATCATGACATCTGTTAGTTTTGAAATTGTCGCAGATTTTTCGAATTCAGAGTTGAATAATCCCACTGTTACATACATTATGTTCCACGTACCTAAAATACCATTTGGCATTTTATTTCCACTCGTCACAGCAGCAATAATAGCAGCATCACCATCTAGCGGAAAATTGTAGAATCAACGTCTCGCTCGTTGTGACGTAGAGAAATCATAGTAGGGGGTCAAGTGATTATTCTGAAATTTTCTATACGTAATAGTGGCCGAATATCTTATGCGCACCATATCTTATTTCCATTATTTTGAGAAACTACGAAATCAATGATTAAGACGATAGCTTAGTGGTCTGTGTATCTGACTTCCACGGTGGTCACTGGACCTCGCAAATTTTTCGAAAATATACTTTTCAGGAAAATGGTCCATTTAAGGCAGGTTAAGTTGAAAGTACTTTCCATTTTCATGCAGAAGAGATATGTCCCTCTTATTACCTTATTATAAATCTTATACACACGAATAACCTCGTAAGAACCTTGAGGTTTGACAGATTCGCTGGTCTAGCTAGACGCTTATGCAAATTTTGCTTTCGTTCGGCTTCGCTAGTAGGGGGTGTAGTTAACCCCATTACCCCCCCCCCATATCGACGCCCTTGCTAATTGCATTCAGTGAAATTTTTCTGTATCTGTTTCTAATTCCTATTGATATGTTTCATATACGGGGTGTCCGAAAAGGTTTTTACTATTTCTCAGTTATATTTCTCGAGAACTTCTAGGAGTGGGGGGATCTGGCCAGTTACAATCGTGAGAGCGTCTCTTGGAATTTCAGTGACAATGGGGCCGCAACGCGCTTTTTGTGTAGAAGCATTTTACGAAAACAACCATTCTTTCATCCAATCATTATTATTGGTCCCTTTTTTTTAAGATGCATATCATCGCACTGTTACTGTGAATTCTGACCGTTATAGGGCAATAATGCTGGAAAATCTTCTTAAACCAGAATTGCAAAATTTCGGGTGTGTATAATTTGCGGACT